CTCTGAGGAGAAAATGATTCCCATTTCTTTGCCTTGGCAATAAACCGAGATGTCGCATATTTATCATGGTGCCAATTTGAATGTAGCCAATATCTGTGTAATGGGATTTAAAACTTGATGTATGCCAGCATTCTGGTGGATCCCTGCATTGGAGTCCTCACTTGCTCCAGCAGAGCGATTGTGATGTAATGCTTCAATATTGATAACTGCCCTCAAAGCAGTGGACTCTAATTGCCTATGAAAATATTGAGCTGTAGGGCCATCATTTCATCTCTTCTCCTCTCAGTTCAGCTGCTTTCCATCGTCTTGTCAGGAGATAAATCCACCGTTTCAAACGGATTCCAGTTTGAATGAAAGCCCCCGTCGCTGTGAAGCTGTCTAAACGGTCTCTTCGCATTTAATGCTATTAGAGCAATCTGGGTATTTTTCCACATGCTAAAATCTTCTCATCTGCTTATTGATTCTCTGACCACACATTGGAAGCTGCATGTGGTTGTCAGTCATTCTGATGTACTTTACTTTGAGATCTAATATGAAAAGCCTCTATATTTGAAATGTGAGATTATACTAAAGTTTTAAATCAGACTTCTGTTGCACATTTTTGTTTATTTTTTATCAGTAATTCTGTATAGAAATACTGTTTTGTATATGTGTACGCTGGCTACAACATGGATTTGTATATTTCATTAATTTTTAATAATGTATGAATTTCATCGCATCAGATAAAAAATGTCAAATCAGAGTGGCATCCGCCAATAAATCATGCTAGAACTTTTCTGGCTGAATTTTATTTTTTCACCTTAATATTGAACAGTATATTTATTGTTTTATAATGTAAAGCCTGGAAAAAAAGATTATAGTGCTATGTTTCTTTAAAATAAATCACAGTTGGTTTAATTTTTGATACTTTTTATTCAGAAAGGATGCATTAAACTGATCAAAAGACAACAAAGACTTTTATGTTACAAAATAAATGTTTTTGAGCAGCAAATCAGCATATTAGAATGATTTCTGAAAGATCATGTGAAACTGACTGTAATGGAATGACTGCTGAAAATTCAGCTTTGCCATCACAGGAATAAATTATATTTTAAAATATATTAAAATAGAAACCAGTTACTTTAAATTGTAATAACATTTCAAAATATTACTGTTTTTTGATCAAATAAATGCAAACTTGGTGAGCATATATATATATATATATATAAGGGTGCTGTGAAAAATCTACACTATTTTTTAAAACTTTTTGGTGTGAATATATATATATATATATATATATATATATATATATATATATACTGTATATATCCATACAGTATCTTTATATCTATCTATTCTGCTGTCATGCAATAACATTTGAACATGATTTTTTTTTTTATTGTCCAGATACTTAATGTGCATGTCAAGTTCCTTGTTCCTTGGAAGTCAGGTTCTGGCTTTTGCAGTGTCTTCAGAAAGCACTCTGACCCCTGTATGTGAGGAATTTGACCCATTCTGCTTTGCTGCTGACCACAGAGCATCCTTCAGGCTGAAAAGGGGGAAAAGTCAAGTTTTTCACCCTTCTTCTTTCTTATTAAGGCCTCTAGGCTCTTCCTCTACCCATCCTTTACTAAGGTTTTGTATATGTCTGCTCACATCGGTTAGCCTCACTGTGTGTGTTCAGCCTTGGATTGAATTTCTTGATATCTGGAATCCGTGCAAATCGGTTTTGTTCCAGATAGAAAAAAGGATTCACAGTTATAATCCAAAATCTCCAGGCTTCATCTTGTCCCTTTTACGCAGGTTGGGAAAAGATTTATATTTCCTTATGAATCTCGTGCTGTGAAGAACCAGGTCCCCATAGTAACGGCAGAATAGCATCAGTGCAAACAGCCATTATGGATGAGCGTGTTGTAAACGCTCGAGCACAATGGCGACCGAAAGGACCGTTCCATTTATCACCACGTTTGAGACCTGAAAGAGAAACTATCCCTGTTACCTCGGCGGAGGTCGTCACGGCGATGTCCCCCCAAGGCCTGGATGCATTATTCAAATGTGAAGAATCCAATAGAGATGCCACACCATAAGCACTTGCACATGAAGATGGTGAGAGAGAATTGGTCTTGAATTGAGAAGCCCCGAGAGACCCAAAACACCCTTTGGAGATTTATATGTGAGAAGGTCAGGGGTCGAGCAGCCATTAATCAAGGCCAAAGAAAAGGATTAAATAGCAAGGTCTCGCAGGCAGATGAGAGAGCGGCTGATTGAGGCGTTTAAAAGAGTGTGTTGTGTCTGTCTTAGATTACAGAGTGCGAGCCGTAGGCTAAACATCCATCTGAACCACGGCAGAGTGCTTACACTCTATAATCAGCAAGCCAGAGGACCTCTACGGTGGTCAGTCATACATCACAAAATCCCTCATGGTACCGCACAGGGCAATTCGGTGGTACTGCAGTTTAGGAAAACTCATTAATACTGGATTATTATTTTCATTTTTGTGCATTTTGGTACTTTAACAAAATCTTCTTACTGTACTTGGCTTCATTATACTACAGCGGGCTAACAAAACATGTTAATCCATATTTTAAAATGTTTAAAATTCGGTTTCCCTTAATTTTACACAGGTGCATACAAGTTACATAACAGCGCAACCACAGGTGTGATATATATTTTATGCTGAAAATATACAAATTTGTCTCTTTGCAAAATATGAGATTAACCGAAAAAATTAAATTAATAAAATCAATTAAATTAATACACTCATAAATGTTGAATTATATATATATATATATATATATATATATATATATATATAATTATATAATGTATATATGTTTTAATTTCTTTCACTTTGAATTCATTTTAATTTTATTCATTACTATTCATTATTTTATTCATTAATTTAACATTTCCAGTCAACATTTGCTTGAGTAGTGTGTATGTGCTCTTTCTTTTAAAATAAATATAACTTGTTTTGACATTTTTTTATTGAACACATTGACATTCACACATTTTAAAGCAAAGCTTAAGTGTCCAAATATTTTTGTGGCTACTGTATGTGTCATCACCGCAGCTGTGTGATGCACAGGAGGTGCATTCAATTTGCTGTTGTTCAGAGACATGACCGCACACACAGAGGGCCAATTTCACATTCACTTGCTATGTTCTCGCTCATATTTCCAGGGTATTATTGATTATCGTTCTTACATCTATGTAAAATAACTACATTCATAATATTCACATACACATCTGTATATGTGTGTGCCATGGCTCGTGGTTTGTCATCACCCACCATCATTGATTAATAGGTTCAGCTGGTGTCCAGAAGCGTTCATGGCCTTTGTGCCATAACATACATCAACATAGACGCTAATATGCCTCATTTGTACAGTACACAGAGTGACCATAACTACCGCCACATTGCTCTTTCCGAATATAGATCGTCCCATGCTGTGCAGCTCGTAAAGACTTGTCACAATCTGAGAATCTCGATTGTACGCTGCACATCAAGTCATCTTGAAGTCCATGGTGAATGTGAAAGTCTGCTCTGAACAAAAACTGCCATTGCTAGTCAGACTAGACTGTTAGTCTGTGTGACACCCAGAGGGTGTGAAAGTAAAAAACACACACCAGTGTCCCTCACATCCATGCACACTCATCTGAGCCCAGTCATGGCTGCTTTAGGTTTATTGCACAGCATAGACAAACGGCTTTGATCTTTAATGCGCAGTGCGCTGCATTAATTATGAATCATTCCCCTAGCCGAACTGCGGCGAAACACCTTCAAACGCTCAGCGAGCGATGCAGTTTTTTTGTAGGCCCCCAGGATGGCTCCGGGACTGCATGTATATATACATTTATCTGCATGAACAAAATAAGAGAGCTTTGCAAAAAAACTTCTGCCGTGCCCCCGAAGTATCCAACATCTCTTCTTAGCCCACGGTTACTCACGCTGCTAGAAATTCTCATATACATCACCAAAAAGCCTCTTCCATGTGTGTGCTATTCACAACTCAGTGGACACATCCCTGGCAAGCTAAGGCAGCCGTGTGAAGTAATGATAAAGCTGCGCGACGGTATCCAATTGACCGGGGTGTAATATTGGAGAAATGACCTAGTTCTCTCTGGGATAATATGGATCCTGTAGTGCTGCATGCTGTTGAAGAAAACTGGCTGCAAGGCCTGTTCCCCAACAGCAAAGTCTGAATCGTCTGGAACAGACACATTGATTTTTTTTTTTTAAATTATTGACAGATATTGCATGGATATGAAAGGCATGTTGAGGTTGTGTGCATAGTGTACTTTAAATGCATGCAAATAGAGCAGTATTTATACAGCATTGTTTGATCAATTTCCTCATCCTCAAGAAAACAAGGGCAGCACAACACAGCTTTAATCAGGTAAAAATAAATAAATAAATATTGTATACATATAATATTGTATGATATCCATGACCTGTTAACATATTTTCACTGAGCTCCTAATGTATCTCCTAGTGTGGAAAAAAAAATCATATAATCTAAGACGACAGATTAAAGAGCAAAGATTTAAGTAACAGCCATAGGATAAAAGTAAATAATGCAGTTGAAGAATTATCACTGATAGAAAACATTCATTGTCATAAATTATAAACATAAATTCATAAATGTGAAATAATTTTTGTAAAGGTAATGTGTTATTTATTTTATAAATATATATATATATACTATTTTTTATCTATCTATCTATCTATTTATCTATCTATCTATCTATCTATCTATCTATCTATCTATCTGGTCTTTAACTACTAATTTCTTAGTCACTTTTAATGACAGGTTGGTAATTCATTAATGGCAACATGGGCTCACTTTAGAGGCTCTTTGTTTTACCACATGTGCAAGCAATGCTCTTTACTCAAGGAAACACTTTCATTTTCTCCTTAACTCCCTCTATGGCTGTAGGCAGAGCGGCGCAGGAGGGGTTAACGTTCCCCTCACTCGTCGCTGCTATGTACCCGCGTGAGCGTCAGTGGGAGTCCCCTTCACTGGGTCCCTTTGCAGTAGTGTGTGGACAGGAGAGTTGTAGACAGAGCCGAACAGAAGCGTGAACAAACAGTAGTGCCATAAAGTGAACATTTGACACTATCGCGAAGCTTTTAACTTTTACCGCGTGGAGTCGTGTTGTATTGTCATCAGAGAGGGACGCCGACAGCTTACAACGCGCGCGCGTCAGCTGGTATGAGCTAACCCATCAAGACATGGAAACCAAACCTTTCTTGTCATTGGGTAAGTTTACCCTCAGACTACTGAAAGATGTTTATTTTTCCACTCGAGTTTCTTTGGTATGCAAGAGAGAGTTTTATGATTTACTTTTTAGTCCAGCGTGAGGGGGGAAAAACATGAACGCTAAAAAACAAACAAACAAACTGGAATTGCTTTAGCGCGCTTATTATCGACTCGGGCTGTATTGGAGGATTACGTTCGTGGCGAATGGAAACGAATGCAATCATAATCAATAACGTACAGCAGTCAAGTGCATGGTGTGGATCAGGACATTTGTTTTTAAATCAAACTAAAGGTAAACACAAAAGTTGAGGCGTGCAAAAGCGATGGCACGCGCTCGGATAGTGACACCTCATTCAGTCTCGCGCTCACTCAAAAGATGTTGTATTCTTGATATGCGGTATAATTTGACATATTGATAGTGTTGTGAGTGCTCTGACTGCTGTGCTGCAGAGTTGAAGCTCGTGCTGTAGTAAACGAGCAGGTATTGGATTCACGCGCATCATTTCTTTCACTTTCCTGGCAGGAATACAGACACATGCAGACGAGTGTTCATTTGTGTGTGGATGATTTCTCGTATTTGTAAACGCAGAGCAACATCGCGCATCAGTCTAAAATTTTGCGAAAAAATGAAATGCACATTAGTTTGAAGGCGTCGGACGTCTGTAAGATCTCGTTAACGTTAAATCGCAAACAGTTTTTGTCATTGGAAGAAGAAAAGCGTTATTAGCTACAGCGAATGTTTTTGTTTTTCATCTGCAATTCCATCTTTACATGCAGAAATCACACATTTTTTTAAATCAATTTTCCTTGCACTTTGCTCTCAAATAATCCGGCGAGAACCGTTTGTGTATGAGATAACAGTTGATAAGTGAACTTGGACAAACTTTGGCGTTTTCCGTGAGTAGTTTACGGAAGAAAGTGACAGAAGTCATTGCAGAGCAATACGATTTCATTTGAAATCTATTTATAGTGACTAGATTTAATAATAAAGTGACTCGGTGTCCGAGGAACAAACCTTGCGGGTTTCAAAAATGTCCTTTTTTTTTAATCGACGGCTGAGGCGAAATGTAGGTGTGGTTTCCATATAGTCCATCATATTAAAGGAATAGTCCACCAAGAAATGAAATTAGTTTGTAATTACTCATCTTGTTCCAAACCTGTTTGACTTTTTGTCAGTGTAACACAAAAGGCAAATTTGTGAAGAATATTCTGGCTGTTCTTATCTATGTAAGTGAATGGGATCTGAGACTGACCAATTTAATTCAGGACAGAGAAGCACCCTGAAAGAATCGTAAAAAGTTTTAATCAATCATATGCTGTTTTCCAAATCTTCTGAACTGAAATGAACAGATCAAAACTGTTACAGAAGATGTTGTTCACTGATAATCTTCCCCTCTTTTAAGATGTTCACTGTTGCGACTTGATCATTCAGTCGGTGGCTTTGTGAACTAGAGTAGCTGATTCATTGAAAAGATCAGTCTTCAACAATTCATTCACTAATCAGACATTGCTGATTTTCTCATAAACTCTCATGAAAATTGCAAAGAGATCTTGGATGGATGTCATTAAAAACGTAAATCCATTCTGTATGACACAAAATTATTGGCTTCAGAAAACCCGGAATAGTGTACAAGTGTCCACTTTTATGATACTTGTGTTTTTTGTTGTTGTTATTTTGGAGCGTGACAGCCATAGTCCTCATTCACTTTATTGAAATGAGTGTTCAGATATTCTTCAAAAAAATGTTTTGTGTTTTATGGAAGAAATAAAGTCACACTGGCTTAAAATGACATGAGGATGAATAAATGATAATGGACTTTTCTTTTGATTGTAAAACATGTATTTAAGGCAGTATTTATTATTTTATTTTATTTATTTATTATTTTGGAAAACATGAGAGCCACTTAAATTCCAACGGTCAGTGTGTGATTATGAAATCATAGTGCAGTTTGCGGCTGTAAAGATAATATGATATCTGAGTTATGCCAAAAATAGACTAATAGACAGGAGATTTACATAACGTGATATATAACATCTCAAAATAATTAATTACATGGCTTTGTCTTATACATCTCTTATACAACATGCCTATTAGTCATGCAAGGCTGTGGTTTGGTAAATTAACATGTTCTTCAATAAATGATACACATTACTCTCTTATGCATATGAGCTTACTTGCCATGCATGGAGATAAGTTGAGCAGTCACACTTGATTTAGTTCACACAGAGGCCTGCATACTGTAAGAATAACCAGCATGCTCTGCGCTTTCACTCAGGAATATAGGAAGGACTGTTATTGTGTCTGTAGCTCTTTTATGCGGGAGTCATGTTACACCTTGACATACATCATCACCCGACTGGTTCACTAAGATGAGAGGCAGCAGGAATGCTGGGTTTCCCAAAACCCCCGAATATTCCCAGAACAGTACCAGAAAAATTGCAGAGTTAAGCAACATCTTTACTAGTTGTTAGACTAGTTGTTAAGGTGTGTTAGGGCTTTGTATGTGTGGCTTTTTATGCTGGGAAATTCAGATGTAAAAGCTGGATTTAATTTTTGGCTTTATAGTTATTATATTTTTCTGTAGGCATGCATTTTAATAGTAACAAAGGTTTGTTTATAAATCGTTCTTATTGGAGCCGTGTGCTTTATCCTTCACATAATCTGCACTTTAGGATAATTTAGTAATTGTTTTAAGTTCTTGTCTTTAAAAAGATTTGGTTAAAATATTTTAATGTCATTAACCATAATAAAATGTAATCAAATTCATAAAATAATTAAATGTATGAAACTTTTTAACAATAAAAAGATCATTTAACTTTAAACTAGCGGTCGACCTATATTGCTTTTTTTGACTGCCGATGCCGATATCTTGGAAAGCAGGGTGGCCGATATAAAGCCGATATAATGTTATTTATTTTAATTAATGTTTAAGAAATTTTAAATAATTTGAAAAAGGATTAAAAAGTAAATGTGTTAAATAAACATACTTATACTTTAGATGATAAAGTATTTTTCACAAATAAATAAATATTTAATAAAAATATAATAAAAAAAAAAGAAAGTAAACACTGTAACCAACAGGGCACTCAGTATTCTGGAAAGTTTGTGTGCTTTGGGATTTGGGAATCATATTTTTTTTTAAATAAAGCCAAGGTAACACTCATTTTAAATACAGCACACAGTGGAAAAGACATGAATATGGCAGTGGGCAAATGCATAAAGCGTGGCATAATTTGAAATCACGAGTTTAAAATTTGTCGATCGCGCATCTCCAGTGAAGCTGAACTCTCCTCCTGTCAGCATTCAGTTCACACGGACTGACCGTCATGCAGAGAACACGCGATCGTGCAGGATACAAATGCACACTTCACAAGATCTCACAACTGGATCCGACTAAGTTTGCAAGCTTTGTGAAATTAAATGTTCATTAGTCATTCAAAGATTTGTTTAAATTATATAAATGCGTATTTGCTGAATGCTGATGGCAAACAAGAAAGTATTATAATGTTTGCCTTTATTACTAATAATATAAAAGCAATCATTATAATACTTTTTGTATACATTATAATTCCTTTGATTAACCGTTCTATCTGATTATTAGACAGTCGTCAAAATAAAAGTCCCGCCTCGAATGCATTGACCAAACAAGAAAACTTATCGGCCGATGCCGATATTTAAAAAAAAAAGAAGCCAAATATCGGCCGATGTATCAGCCTTGGCGATATATCAGTCGACCACTACTTTAAACCCTGAATAATTTTAAAAAAATCAAATATTTAAAATGTATTGATTTGTGTTGTTGATTTGTTGATATGTTGATTTATATAATTACTAAGACATTTAGCCATTTTTAATAATAATTTCAAATAACATTTAACCCTGAATAATTATTTAAAAAAAAAATCAAAATATGTAAAAAAAAAAAAAGGTTCAGTATCTAAGTTTCTATTGTAATAAGTAATTTTAGCCAAATCATAAAAGACTTAATATTATAATATAATATATATTTTATGATGTAATCATAAAAAAAATATATATATAATTAACTTAAGATTTTCAACACATAAAGCATGTGGCTGCTTGCAAGCGGAGTGCTATTTCCTGCTGTCTGCTATACGTGTTGAGTGTCAGCTCTGGCCTTCTAAATTCAGACACATAATTTAAACATGAATGATTACTTAATACTTACATTTACAAATGCTTTTGTGGAAGTAATTGAGCAGAGTTTCAAATTACAGCGTTAGATATACTCGTGATGTTTTTGTTCTTTGCAAAGGATGCAGAACAGGTTGGGCTTATTAACTTTTTTTCCAGCCCTAGGCACAGGTGCTAAATACCTAATATCTGTCTGTTTTTTTTTTGCCTGCAAAGATTTAATGAAACCTTTTATGTAAATTACAGAAGAACTTACTAGGGACTAAAAGCTTGTGTAACATCACAAGTTATGGAAGTATTCTGCTTTCTGAAATCACTCTCTGTTTATCTGTAGATCATTAAGTAAGTGGATCCACGGGATGTAGATGGTTTTCTCCTTGGTTTTTAAGGACCATTTGTTCTATAAAAGTAAACCACATTTAGTTTGGCATTTTTTTAAGGGTCGGGAGGAGGTGCTTTTGAGTGATAGGAGGTGTGTTTTTTTTCTCCGTCCATTTCAGTGAAGTTCATGGTCTTGATGAGAAAGTGACATTCATTGTTGAGGGGAGTGCATTCCTCTGTCAGCCGTAATTCAGGAGCAAAGGTGGTTCTGGGAGGTTTAAAGAGCTTTGATTGGGGGTCTGGGTGGGCTGTTTACCTCTTAAACCCATACAAGGTATTTTATTTTATGGCAGGGCAGTTTTAGGTTTCTTGCCGGATGCTTTTTGCCGCCTTTTGTGAGCGGGCTGCAGCTGTCATTTTTACTAGAGAAGTTTTCTAGAGAATGTTAATGGATTAAAGGGATAGTGCTCTCCAAAGGCCATTTACCAGCGACATATCACGACGGGCAGTCCATGGATGAGAT